AGAAAGAAAGAAAGAAAGAAAGAAAGAAAGAAAGAAAGAAAGAAAGAAAGAAAGAAAGAAAGAAGAAAGATAGTCAGGGGTTGGGGATTTAGCTCAGTGGTAGAGCACTTGCCCAGCCAAGGCCCTGGGTTCCATCCTCAGCTCTGAAAGAACAAACAAAACAAAACAAAAACCAACAAACTCCTTGGGGCTGGAGAGATGGCTCAGTGGTTACGAGCACTTTCTGTTCTTCCAAAAGACCTGGATTCAATTCCCAGCACCCACATGGCAGCTCACAACTGTCTGTAACTCCAATTCTAAGGGATATGACACCTCCACACTAACCTACATAAAAAATAAAATTAAAAAAAAAAAAAAGATAATCAGGGTCCCAGTCCTTGAGCCTTTGTCTCATCCATCCAAATTACCAACTCAAACAACTAAACCTTGAGCCTTTGTCTCATCCATCCAAATTACCAACTCAAACAACAAAACCTAATTTTATTCCCTAAAGTAACTTTGAATCAAAAGTATACACAGGGGCTGGAGAAATGGCTCAGCAGTTAAGAGCCCTGATGGCTCTTCCAGAGGACCCAGGTTCAATTCTGAGCACCCACAGCTGTCTGTAACTCCAAGATCTGACATACATGCCTCACACAGCCATACATGAAAGGCTAAACACTACTGCACAAGAAATAAAAATTAATAAATTTTTAAAAAGTATACACGGACTTACTACAAACTGGACAAACTTGGCTATTTTGTTTTGAATGTGTATGATTAGGCAAAACAGAATATAAAGCTTAGAAATTTATTATGTTTATGGATGTTTTGTCTGCATTTATGTATAACACATGTGCCTAGTGTTCTTGGAAACTAGAAGAGAGGGTGTCAGGTCCCCTAGACCTGGAGTTATAGATGGTTGTGAGAGCCACGTAGGTACTAGGAATTGAACCCAGGTCCTCTGGAGGAGCAGCCCATGCTCTTAACCACCGAGCCATTTCCAAACTCTCACAGCACTTAGAAGTACACAGCCTTTATAAGGGCAATGTTGTCCTTGGACTGTGAAGTCTTGTAGTTAAAGCTGATCCCCTGCTTGCTGCATTCGGAATGTCATGGACACTCCTTTCCCTTTAGCTGCAGGAGGCAAAGAGTTGTATTCCCCAATCTTTTCCCAGGCCCCACCAGAAGCCTAAGAGTAATAAGTCTGCCTGACAATGGATGGAAAGCTATAAAACCAGGAGCTAAAAACTAAAGCTAAATAAGGTTTTCCTTTCTTACAAGTCGCAGGGATGAACAGAAAGCACATTGACACGGAAAACTTCCAGAATCCTCACTATACAAAATCCACCCAGGAATATCTATGGAGGAGAGGGAACATTTACACAAACATGAGTGTACAGAATTTCTGTATTCTGGGCTGCAACCTGGAAATGCTCAAGGTTGAGACTTGGCCTCAGGCCTGCCAGAACTTTCATGCAGCCGTCTAGTCAGAGTGGTCAAGGCATCCTGACATGTGTTCCTTCACATGGCCATGTGTTTAGCACCCTGACTGGTGGTCGCTGGACAACTGAGTATCTGGCAAGTTTTGATCAGCTCAGATCAGTTCTTTCTGAAGGCTGAGGGCTATATCCTCATCAGAGAGCTATCCTTAAAAGAAATCTCGAGATGGGGGCTGGGAAGGCATGAGCCAAAGGGAGACTGGGCAGGACAACATAGGAGAGGCCAGCTGATGGTGCTCTAGAGGGTGAAAGGCCAGGAAGGTCATGGATTGTCATGTTGGAAGACAAAAGGCCTCAGATGCAGCCTGGAAACCAAAGGTTAGTAGAATGGGGGAAAACAGTTGGCCAGCTTTAGTTCTTCCGGGAGGTGAGAGGCAGAATGTATAGGAAGGTTGGGTTGGGTGAAAACTGAGCAAGGGATGAGATGGAAGCAGACAAGTTGGTCACCTGGGAAGAAGGCAGTGAGTGAGACAGATGTGGTTTCTGAGGGGAGGGGACAAGTGGAAGTGTGAGGTATCCACTGTGACTGTACCTGGAATTAACTCGTAGGCAAACCTGTGAAGGATTTTTTTAGATTATTTTCTCAGGGTAGGAAGGAAACACCAAAAGCAAGGCAATGCCTTCTGGCAGCAGCCCAGATAACAGGACAGAAGGAAACTTTGTTGCTTCCAAATCCATTTAGGATCCCAGCATACACAGTACACATAAGACCAGCAGCTCTCCGGGACTCCTCCTGGCCCTCAGGGCCAGGCTAGGACTGCTGAGATATCCAGCCTCACAGACTGAGCAACTACTGTATTCTTAGTCTCTCTGGTGTTAGTCATTGTTGGGCTACCCAGAGCCCATTCTGTAAGGCAGTCTAATAAATCACCTTTATGTATCTATGACAGTTCTGATCCTTTAAGAAACCTTCACTAGTGTGTGAGGCCTGTTGTCAGCTGTAGCTATGTGGCTAGTGGTCAGGAATCATCACCTGGACAAGTCATAATGTATTACGCAGGTGCCAACTGTCACTTCTGCCTGCCTGGAGCTGTGGCTCTTGAGTTTTGGGAGTAAATGTTCACCTCTGCTCTCCCCAGTCTTCAGGGACAGTGGTAGCTCCATTTTAAGTTCTGGCCCCTTGTCATCATGGAAAAGGAAAAATCCTAACGTTCTTAGGTGAGTAATTCTAGAATGGGAGCCTGAAAATGACCCAGAGCTGCAGAGAGAAAGACAAGGCGACAGGCACCAAAGCGACCTGCCCCCAGCTGCAGCACCTCAGGCACATTCTCCTGTGCTGCCTTAACTGGCCCGGACTTGACCATCCAAGAATGAACACAATGGAAAGGCCCTCACCTTAGAATAGAATGTCACCTCTTAGGTGGCTAGAGTTGACCAACAAGACCAGGCTTGGGGTCCTAGAAAAGTCTGAGAAACCCATCACCAATCTTCACGCAGGTCCACCCTTGTGTCCCCATATGGCCCATTGAATCTGTCCAAATTGGGACCCATCTTCCTTCACCAAGGTCCAGTCTGACGCAGAGAGGCCTGTGTGTGACAAGTGGAAGGGCTAAACATGGCCAACGTCTAAGTCAGGCTGTTGGAGAGGTGCCCAGCCCCATACCTGAGCCCACTGCCAGTTGCCATCTGACCGGCACCGCCTTCATCCCGACACTCCGATCTCCACCCTCTGCTCCTTCACACATGGACTCTTGCCATGGGCCTTGAAGCTCTCAGGAGCTAAGTAGCACACAAGGGACAGTGGGTCCCAGGACTGAACAGGCTAAAAAGGCTGTGTTGTTGGGAGGAGAAGCTGAGTCCAGGCTTAAGAAAATCCATTTTATTGGTTTCTAGACAAGGGACGGTGGGACCAGCATGGATGCATGAGGTTGGAACAGAAGTAGATCAGCAAGGTATTGGTCTGGCCCTTCCCTGAGGGCTGATATGGGCCCTACTAGACAGCAGCATGGAAGTCCCTGGTGGAGAGGTCAGCATGTGGCTCAGGTTGCTGGATACAATCCTCAGTTCTTGCCAAGGTCTGAGAATGGTGACCACTGACTGGGCATTGTCAGCTGAGCACCTGCTTGTACCGTGCTTCACTTCCGGGCCTGCTCATAGTTGTCAATGAACCAAGCACAGGTTTCCTTCACAGCTGCAGAGGTGGACAAGTGAGAGCTAGTGATGTCACACACCAACGTCCCCCCCCAGGAGGTAGGGAGAGTAAAGGTCCCCAAATCATAGTGTCCTGTTTCCCAGTGGGTACAGGCTCTGTTAAGTGTTCTGGTGACCAAGCCTGCGGAGCACCAAACACCCACGGTCACAGTATGAAGGCTGAGACCACAACAGGGAACAGGGAGAAACAGCTGGTGCTGAAGCCAAGGGCTAATTGGCAAAGAGCCCATAAGCACGGGCTTTGGTGGTTAAGGGTTTTGGGAGGAACAGGAGCTTACCCTGCTTGAAGGGTGTGAAGCGGAAGTCAGGCAAGTAGCCCCGAAGCTTGCCATTGCTGGCCGTCTTCTTATACTGCCCATCTGACTTTGTTGAATCAAACTGGACACCTTGGTCAAGGCCATAAGAGAAAGGGCACCATCCACCTGCCCTACACGGAACCTCTCTTTTCCTGGGACAGGCCTGG